GGGCAACTGCCTTCAGCTCAGGTCATGATCCTGGAGTCCCGGGATCGAGTCCCACATCGGGCTCCCTGCTCAGTGGGGAGTCTGCTTCTCCCTTGGACCCTCCCCCCTCTCATGCTCTCTCTCTATCTCATTCTCTCTCTCAAATAAATAAATAAAATCTTTAAAAAATAAATAAATAAATAAATAAATAAAATCTTTAAAAAAAATAAAGTAATGCTCATAAAGAGACTCGCTAGAATTGAGAAAGGAGTGCAGGCCCTCCATGAGACCCTCCACCAAGAGATAGGAGACATAAAAAAGAACCAACTAGAGCTATTGGACTCACTAAATGGAAATAAAAATAGACCACCTGGAAAAAATAGCAAACAAGAGGAAGCTGAATGGATCAGCCACCTGGAGGACAGTCATGGAAAGTAATCAAGCTGAGCAGATGAGAAGGGGAAAAAATACACAAAATGAGAATAGACCCAGGGAACTCAGCAACACTGTCAAGCATAACAGTCGCATGACAGGGATCCCAGAAGGAGAAGAGCAAGAAAAGAGGGCTGAAGATTTGTCTGAAGAAATAATAGCTAAAAACTTCCTGAATCTGGGGAAGGAAAGAGAAATCCAGATCCAGGAGGCACAGGGAGCCCCCAACAAAACCAACCCAAAGAAGTCTGCACCAAGACACAAAGTAAATAAGATGGCCAAAAGTAGTGATAGAGACTTTTAAAAGCAGTAAGAGAAAGGAAAGCAGTGACATACAAGGGAAACCCCATATGGCTATCAGTGGGTTTTTCAGTAGAAACTCTGCAGGCCAGAAGGAACTGGCATGATCAATTCCAACTGCTAAAAGGAAAAAATCTACAGCCAAGAATATCCAGCCAGGCTTTCATTTAGAATAGGAGAGATCGAGTTTCCGAGAAAAACAAAATTTCAAAGCAAAACCAGTCACGTCCCCATCACACACAATGCCATCAGCCTGTGGGTCCCAAATTCACAGTCCAGCCGCCCTCCTGCCCGAGTCAGCATGCATGGCCTGCCACCTGCTCAATGCCACGTCAACACACCTTCACCTCAGATTGCCAAAGGCTCAAACTGGCACTCTTCCCTCAAATTCCAGCCCCTGTGCTCAAGTTTGTGTACAAAAGTGGGCATAATTATAACAGCAGAATGAAGCAACCCAAACAGTGACACTATTTCTGTGTAATTTAGAATGGATAAAAGGAGTGTGCTAGGCTGAGAACATCTCCAACAAGCACATCAAAGAACAATACATACAGCATGATTCTAGTTAGTAAAAAAAAACAAACCTGGGAAGAATAAAACAAGATGAAATCAGAGAGGGGGAAAAACAATAAGAGACTCTTAAGCATAGGAAAGAAACTGAGGGTTGCTGGAGGGGAGTTGGGGGGGCTGGGATAACTGGGTGATGGGCACGAAGGAGGGCCCGTGATGGAATGAGCACTGGGTGTTGTATGCAACTGATGAATCACTGACCTCTACCTCTGAAACCAATAATACACTGTATGTTAATTAACTGAATTTAAATAAAAAAGGAACCCCCCCCAAAAAAGAACAGAGGTGGTAGAATTGGATGGAGGTGAGGAAATTGAATAGAGAATTATTTAAAAGATAAAACAGAATCTGATGATTGATCAGGTGTGCCTATGTGTTTGGGCAGAAGTGAGATGTGGGATTGGTTAATAAACAGGCCTGATTTCTGGCTTTCTCCAGGGGCTAACTGAATGGCTGGTGGTATCACCAACTGAGGCAAAGGATATAAAAAAATGAGCACAGTTTGGTTTAGCTGCATGTAACATAACCCAAAATACTGTAGTTTAAACAACTGGGAAGTTTATTTTCTTTCTTTTCTTTTTTTTAAAGATTTTATTTATTTATTTGAGAGAGAGAATGAGAGAGAGAGAGCACATCAGAAGGGATAGGGTCAGAGGGAGAAGCAGACTCCCTGCCGAGCAGGAAGCCCGATGCGGGACTCGATCCCGGGACTCCAGGATCATGACCTGAGCCGAAGGCAGTCACTTAACCAACTGAGCCGCCCAGGCGCCCAGAAGTTTATTTTCTCTTGTGTAAAAGAGGTCCAAGGCGTTGGTCCAGGACATATATGATGCTTCAGAGTCTCTAGTTCCTTCTATCTTGCTGCTCTGCTATTCTCAGCATGTTGTTTTCTCCTCAAAGTCCGTCATGGATGCTCTAGCTTTTGGCCATCACATTTGAGTTCCAGGAATTAAGAAGAAAAAAGCAATGACGAATAGCATACCCTGTCACTTTAAGGACATTTTTGTACTGGCTAGTAGTCATATGGCCTCACAGTTTGCAAAGAAAGCTGGAAAATGTAATCTTTATTCTGGAAAGTCACATGCCCAGGTAAAGAAGTGCCCTAAGGCTCCCTGATGTTAGAGAGTGAGAGATAAGATCCAAGAGAGGAGACTGAGAAGAGGAGGCAAAGAAATAAGAGGGAAGCCAGGAGGGTGTGATGGCATGGAAGACAAGCATGCTAGTGACAAGTCACATGAGATGCAGACTTAGAATGGACACATATTTAGCAATATGGAGGTTACTGCTGGCCTTACTGAGAATTTTGGTGTAATGGTGGATTGGGATGAAAGTCCCATTGGAGGAGAGAAATTAGAGGAGAGAGATTAAGAAAATTAGACTACTTTTTTTTTTTTTTAAGGAAAGAAAAGATTGGGACAGTGACTGTAGGGGGAAGTAAGGTAAGGGAAATTTTATTTTTTAGGAAGAAAGAAATAACAGTATGTTTATATGTTGATGAGAAGGATTAACCTGAGAAGTAAAATTGGTGCTAGTAGAGAGAGGAAAGACTTTTTTGAGTAATGGGATCTAGAACTTATGTGGAGGGGTGGCCTTTTCTAGGAGCATGGGCAATCCATCTGTAGTGCCAGGAGTGATGGAGCACAGGTTGGTTACAGTTCATGGTACTGGAAGCTTGTGGAAGTTCTCTTATGATTCCTTCTATTTTCTCAAGAAATAGGAAGCAAAGTCATTCACTGAGAGCAGGGAGGGATAGGTTTGAAGTGGTAGGAGAAGAAAGAGATGAATCAGTATCTAGGAGAAGAATGGAAGTATGAATAGACCAGGGAACAACTGATAACTTGGCAGCATTGACTTCCCACGTGAAGTTTGCGACCATGAATTTAAAGTGGATAAGAGTCATAATAGGTAGCTGTGACTTTTCACAGGACTAAATGGACTAATGAACATAAAGCACTGAGAACAGTACCAGACATACAGTGAGTGCATAATAAGCTTGTATTATTTGTATATTTATGACTAATTTATAACTCTAGCTCAGACTTTTCTTCATTCAGACTCATATATGCTCCTTTATAACAAAAATCCTTGAAAACTTTTCTGAAAATCCCTCTTCTGTACTTTCTCACATCCCTTTTTCTCTTTCACTCTCTATAGTAGGTCCCCACCCCAAATGCTTTTGTTTTGCTTTTTGTGTGTGTGTGTTTTTAAGATTTTATTTTTAAATAATCTCCATACCCAGCGTGGGACTTGAACTCATAACCCTGGGATCAAGAGTTACATGCTCTATCTTCTGAGCCAGTTAGGTGCCCCTGAAATGCTTTTCAAGAATCATCTATGACCTTGATCTTGCCAAATCCTGGTTCATGCTCAGTCTTCATCTTCCAGCATTTGACATGGCTTTGATCAAGTCTTGCTTCCTAAATCCTTATAAAGATTTGGTTTCCAGGACATCTCAGTCTCCTGGGCTTTCATCCTACCCATTCTTAATCTTCTTTGCTGGATCTTCCTCCTCCTCCTGACCTCTAAAGATTGCACAGTTTGGGGCTAAATTTTCTTTTCTATCCATACTTGCACCCAACATGATCTGACTAGTCCCACAGTTTCAAATAGCATCTGTATGCTAGTGCATCCAAACTTATATCTCTGTGATCTTCTCCTGTAGCCAACTCCCAGTGAACAACTCTATTTGGAAGTACAGTAGGCATATCATACTTAACTGTCCAAAACAGAATTCTTGATTTCCACTCCAGCCATACCCATTTACCCAATCTAGTTGATGGAATTACCATTCACTAGTTTGCTCAGGCCCTGGAGGTCCTTCACTTGTTTTTTTCTCACCCTTTGCAATCATTTAGCAAACACTGTTGACTCTAACTTCAGATTCTATCTGAAATCTGGGCACTTCTCCCCACCTTTACTGTTTTCATCCGAGTCTGACCCAGCACTGTCTTATATTGTGTCGGTTTTCCTTCTTGCCCCTTTACCACCATCTCCATGGAGTCCAGGAGGCCTTTAAAAAATGTAGATGGTTGTCATTACAAATAATCTAAAACGCAAATGTTACCGTGGCACCCCCTGGCTGTAAAAGCTTCAGTCTCCCCATATCCCCGAGGGTGGTGTTGTCTTTACTGCTGGGCAATAAACTGTGGGCTGAAAAATATTAATCTGGCATTTCTTGAATCACAATGCAAAGATTTGGTGAAATACTATGCCGTCATTACAAATTGTCTATTTGATGCAGTAACTTGGGATTAATCCTGACGAAATAAGGGAGCGGATAGCAGATCCCACCGTTACTTTCACACTATGGCTGAATAAATTGTTATGCGTATACGTGATTATAGCCTGCAAGTGGATAAGAAAACATGAAAACAGTTACCACAATCATGGAGTTATAAGTGATTATGTCTTTTAAACATTCAGTTCAATCATGTTATTAAACAAAACAAAAAAACCCAAACCTTTTTCTTCCTTTCTTTTTTTTTTTTTTAAAGGAACGGGCCTCCTCTCCAGTAGGCTGTCCCATCCCTCCACACGTCCCCTCCCCCAACCAGTACAAATTAGCATTGGGCCCTCCGGGCCACCGTCCACAGGCTGGGCCTGCCCAACGCTTGCTAGAGACGCGACGAGCCACTCCCTCGGCTCTGTGCTCTCCCTCCGCCCCACTTCCTCCCTCCAGGCCCCGCCCCACGCCGGTGCGCAAGCGCACAGGCGAACACGTGGCTGCCGCGGAGCCAGGGCAGCAATGGCGGCGGGTGGCGGTGGTGTTGCGGACCCCCTGTCCCCGGCAGGGGTTCCTTGCGCCTTCTCTCCGCTCAACCAGGCCTACTTCGCTTTGGCGTCTGCCGACGGTCAGTTGCGAGTGTGGGAGACAGCCAACAATAGGCTGCACCAAGAGTACGTGCCTTCCGCGCACCTCAGCGGTACCTGCACCTGCCTGGCCTGGGCGCCAGCGCGGCTACAGGCCAAGGTAAAGCAGGCGGGACGGCGGGGGGCGGGCGTCCGCCCGGGCTCGGTCTCAGCGCACCCGCAGTCCGACGGCGCGTGGCCGGGCATCTCGCGCGGCCCTCCGAGGCCCGGGGTGAGGAGGCACGGAGTGCGGCGGCGGCGCGGACTCGGTCCACTTCGCCAGTCCCGCGTGCGGCCTGCCCGCAGAGTAGCGAAAGAGGGCGCGGCCCGATTGGACGGGCCGTAGACTGGAGCGCTACCGACTGGCTCCATGCGGTCTGCGCCCCGCGCCCGGCTGTCGCCGGGGCCGCCATGTTCCCGTAGGCCCCCAGTTCGCCGGGGCGGCTTCCTTCTGCCAAGCCTCGCGCAGCAACATGTGCTCAACGTCCTGGATTTTGACAGAGCCCCTCCTTGGGGCTATAGTACTCTTTTCCGATTTCTCTAGCTCATCGGCTTTGCCTTAGGAGATTGGAATGAGTAAGTCTGTTTCCTTGCTTCCGGACAATCCCCCCACCCCCGAACCCTTGGGTGCAGCAGGCTCACCACGTGTTCTCTTCCATGTCCAGTGTGTGGTACTCTCACTCTTCAAACTTTTGACTTTCCCAGGCTCGTTTCCATTCTCAGTCATTTGAAACTTCAAGCCTTTTTTTTTTTTTTTTAAACATCTGCTTAGTTCCTGTTTATACACCCCTTTTTCTGAAGTCTGCCTTAGGTTGTGGAGGTAAAGTGAAGTAGCCGGATTAATGTAATGAATGTGAATCCAGGTGAAGTTTTTCTTAGAGGGGACATTGCCGAGTTAGGGAAGGCTTTTCTGTTAGGGCCTCATCTCAGGTAAGATGTCATTCACTGTTGAGGCTTGCCACTACGTCTGCCCCAACTCACGTGCACGTGGGTCCTGCGGGTATAGGGTAATCAAATCGAATCAGTCTAATGTGATTTGGAAGCATCAGGTATCGTGAGTGTTTAGATGACACTATGTGTAAAACTTCAAAAGCTAGTATTTAAGACAGATTTTTAACTCCATCCTGACTACCGTGGGGGGACTTTCTGCTAAATTTTTAGGTTGAAAGTAGGGGTTCATCTAACTGTGCTTTCGGGGAGTATGTTTAGGTATTTTTCAGATCTTAGAGTCTCTTAGTTTCTAGATGAAGTGACTTTAGTTGATAAATAAAAGAAACCTTTATCCGGGCTCTTAAGGCAAGGCGAACTTGGACTTTAAAAAAAATCGTAGTTGTCGTTAAAGTTACAGCAGTCTGCATATCTTCTCTTTTTAAAGTTGTTTTCTGTGTTTCTATTTAACAGTCCTGTAAAGAGGGCGCCTGGGTGGTTCAGTTGGTTAAGCAACTGCCTTCGGCTCAGGTCATGATCCTGGAGTCCCAGGATCGAGTCCCACATCGGGCTCCCTGCTCGGCGGGGAGTCTGCTTCTCCCTCTGACCCTCTTCCCTCTCGTGCTCTCTGGCTCTCATTCTCTCTCTCTCAAATAAATAAATAAAATCTTAAAAAAAAAAAAACAGTCCTGTAAAGAGATGATAATAGCGATGCTGAGGGAAAACGTGGAGCGATGATTAGATGCATGAATCCAAGCTCTGCTGCTTACATTTGAATCTAGGTTTGGCTTTATAGTGGTGATTGTGCCTTTAGTTCCTCATTTGTAAAACAGGGGTAATAGTACCCACCTCAGAGTGGTTGTGAAGGTGAACATGTTTAGTAACACAGAAACATTTAGATTAGTGTATGTAAGTGCTGCATGTATTGTTGTTATTAATATCTCGGATTTGTATGGTTAGTCCTGGAAGGTAGATAAAGACTAACTTTTTGCCTTGTTTGTGAAAAAGAAACTAAGACTCTGGAAAATTAGCTTGCATAAAAACCAAAAATAGAACTAGGACTAGAACTCAGGTATTTGGAGCTTTGTTGTCCATTATTTACAACAAATAATTAATAATAGGCTAGCAAAAATTTGTTGGCCCCCCCCCTTTGCTTTTCTGTTGACTTAAGTCACATTATATGCCTCAAGAATAAAACTTTGGCCTAATCTTACATTTCCTGTTGAAAATCATAGTTTTGGATTATGTATACCACTCTGAAATAGAAAAATATCTAGATTTGGTTTCATATCCAGGACTCAAATTGCTTTTTGTCACATTGAGCAAGTCACTCATTTGGAGGGCCTCATTGAAAAATGAGAGTTTGGCTTCTTAAAAAAAAGTTTGTATAGGTTTCAGTATCCTTTTATATCTGTATGTTTTCATTTTAGCCACACAGCTCTATGAAGTGTCCTGAAATAAAATTTTTAAAAAACTGAGAATCAGAACTAAGGAAGTTCCAAGTGACTTCACCAAAGCTTTAGTAACCAGTAAAGAGACTGTGACCATTAGAACGAGATCCTCTGACTCTGGTCCGCTGTTCTTACACTGTAACCCTAGATCTTGAGTCATAGAATTGAGAGCTGGGAGGAATGTAAGGAGGACATTCGGTCCTCATATTGGCGATGTGTCCACCTAGAGCATCAATTTTACTTGAAGATTAGAGGGAGAAGTGGTTCTCTTAAATGTGCACATATATTGCGGGATAAAATTATAAAGTCACGTTATTTTTTTAAAGCTAGAAAATGAAGAGTGATGTGTAGTAGCGGCTTGAGTCTCTGCTCCCAGGTCCCTGGGTTAGGATCCTTGCCACTGAAGTTTTAAGATGCTCTGATTTTATTAAACCTTTTTATTTTACATCTTTGAGGATTAGAGTATGAGTCTTAGAAAGGATGTTATTCTGAACCTGTGTTCCCAACACCTTAGGATTTTTGTTACTCAAACATGAAGTAGAGCTTATACTACCCATCTTTCAGGGTCCTCAGAATTAAATGAGGCAGTGTATATGACTGGTGTAGTAAGTGCTCAGTAAATGTTAGTTGTTATTATTGAGTGATTCAGTGAGCATTCTCTGTGGCTCATTTTACCATTTACTGCTACATTCCTCAGTATAAATCTTTTTTTTTTTTTTTATTTATTTATTTGACAGAGAGACACAGCGAGAGAGGGAACACAAGCAGGGGGAGTGGGAGAGGGAGAAGCAGGCTTCCCGCCGAGCAGGGAGCCCGATGCGGGGCTTGATCCCAGGACCCCGGGATCATGACCTGAGCCGAAGGCAGACGCTTAACGACTGAGCCACCCAGGCGCCCCAAAGATTTTGTTTATTTGAGAGAGAGAGAGAGTACGTGAGAGGGGGGAAGGTCAGAGGGAGAAGCAGACTCCCCACCGAGCAGGGAGTCCGAAGCGGGACTCGATCCCGGGACTCCAGGATCATGACCTGAGCCGAAGGCTGTCGCCCAACCAACCGAGCCACCCAGGCGCCCTCAGTATAAATCATTTTGTAAGAGTATCCTGTATCTGGTTCAGTAATTGGCAATTTGCCACCCAAGGACAAAGTTTGGTAACATTACTCCTGTGAGTGGAGAAAAATGAGTTGGTGCTGGGGTACTTGGGTAATAAGTGTTAAAATAGTTCTAAATGTTTAGAAAAATCATATTGCTGTTTGTTGTTCTTGGTCAAGAATGATTATAATACCTCACATTTATGCCACAGTGGTTTTTGGAAGGTTTTTGTACATATTATATAGCTGAGCATTTCATTTGGTTAATGGAACCTGGGGCAAGAGGACCTGTAATGATAAGAAAAGTGCAGGGAAACACATTGATGGACTATATAGATGGATGCTGTTTTTAAAGCTCGTCAGGTTTGTGCGTGTAAACTGAGCCTGAGCTGTTAAATGATATGCCAAAGCCACAAAGTAAGTGCCTGAGCCCCATCTTGTAACTGACCCTGCTATTTCATTGCCCCCTAAAATCTCTCCCAACTTTTCTACTTTTCCTTCCCTAGCTGGTGTACAGCCCTGAAGAAACAGACCTTATCTACCATCAGCTACCACAGTTCATGTATTTATGCAGCTTTGCTGTTACTGCAATTAAACTGACCTCACACAGCTTAGTTCTTGTTAAACGAAGCACATGGTGCTTCAGCCATGAGACAGGGCAAGCACAGTAGCATTAAGAATGTTTCTAGGAAGGGGCGACCCTGTCGGGACCCCTCTCATTCTTGAGAGCTTTTTCTGTATCTTCACTTAACAAACTGTTATCACTTTACTCAAAAAAAAAAAATGTTTCTAGGAAGAATCTGAGTTGAGTTCCCCATTCCCATTCCTTGGAGATGTGGTACAGTCTGATTGTGTTCCTGAATGTATGATGCTGTATCTTAGGGTCTCTCCAGTATTTAAACTTCAAAACAAGGAAAAGTTTGCAGATTAGATCCTGTTGGCAGGAATAGAAGTTCCTGATTATTAGAATTTGATTGTTTTTGATATAAATATGTAATGACATGTAAAATGCACACATTTTTTCATTGTTATCCATGAAACTTAAACATTTGCCAGAGAGGTGACAGTAGGTAGGCTAAGAAAAGGCATATGAGACTAATTGCAGAATGAAACTTGAAACTCTGGCATAATTTTCAGTGTCTAGAGGTCAGGATTTTTCAAAAGTAGGTTTTGATTCATTAGTGGATTATGAAACAGCTTTAGTGGGTTGTGATAGAGTTAAAAAAATGAGTATATTTTGCATGGGAAAGGATAAGTTTTTTGTGGAGCTTGTTTCAGTTATATATACATATGTTTTTATGAGTGTGTGTACTAGCTCTCCATGTGAACTTTCCTTACTCTGGGATCTCAGTCTAAAAAGTCATTGCTTAATTGATCAAATTCAGACTTCTCATCACTTGGATGCCCTTTTTTTTCTGTCTTCACCACATCTGCCCTATGTCTTGCTTTTGTAAATCATGCACTTAGCCCCTTGAGACTCTCACTCAGCCTTCTGATTGCCTTCTGGATCAAATGCTGATAAACTTTTTCAGACTGGTGCTACTCTTTATTGCTTAGCCTAGTCAGACTTTCACACTGAAAAAGACTCTTTAAGAAATCACATTTTTGGGCGCCTGGGTGGCTCAGTTGGTTAAGCGACTGCCTTCGGCTCAGGTCATGATCCTGGAGTCCCGGGATCGAGTCCCTCATCGGGCTCCCTGCTCAGCAGGGAGTCTGCTTCTCCCTCTGACCCTCTTCCCTCTCGTGCTCTCTCTGTATCTCATTCTCTCTCTCAAATAAATAAATAAATCTTTAAAAAAAAAAAATCACATTTTTTGCATCTTCACTCCTGGTACCTCTAGGAACTCCAATTTTTCAGTCACAGATATGAACTCAAGTTTTAGCCTACCCTTTTCATTACTTTATGTACTTAACACGTATAGTGAGTATGCACATGACCTTGTGCTAGGTAATTCAGAGGAAGTAAAACTGAGTATGACTGAGACACAGTGAAGAAGTGGACAATTCAGATATACCGTGTCTGTAATGCAGAGTGCAGTATGATGTGTGCCTTAAGAGAAGAAGAGGGGGTGCCTGGGTGGCTCAGTCGGTTAAGCGTCTGCCTTCAGCTCAGGTCATGATCCCAGGGTCCTGGGATAGAGCCCTGCATTGGACTCCCTGCTAAGTGGGGGTCTGCTCCCTTTGCCAACACCCCCCCCATGCGCTCTCTCAAATAAATAAATAAAGTCTTTAAATAAAAAGAGAAGAGGTTTTTATGGGGAGATGAGAGTTGGGGTGGACCTTGAAGCATGGATAGATTTTTAACCAAAAGAAAATTGAAGTGAGCAGGAAAAGACCCCTCAAAGTTGAGGGAAAAGCAGAAGCAAAATGGGAAAGTGTTAGGGATTAGGGAGTGTAATATAAAGATGGAATTGGAAATAAGGTTGGAAAAGGGTGGTCTGGAGGCAAATTGCAGATGCTTTTGAATGCCAGAGAGTTGCTTGTATTGATTTCGTCTTCTCTGGGGAGTCATTGACGTTTTTGATCACAGCAGCAACAGGTTCAGAAAGAATGCTGACAAAGGTCTGTCAAAATCTATAATCATCAGCACTAAATTCCTGGTTTCAGAAATATTTGGTGATGAGGTAATATTTAAAATAGATTTTACTAAGGTGCACATTGCTTATATAAACTTATCTGGTTGACCTGTTCAGACAGGCTCATCCTGCTAACTGGGAAGTGATTTTTAAAAAAGGTCGTCCGGCTCTGAGAAAATATGCATGAGTCAGTAGTTCTTTGAGATGCATTAATTGTGTTATTATTTAGGCTTAGACCACTGATCCTCAAAATTGGGCATAAGTTCTGTGGATGCTCCTACACTTGCCTCTGCTTGCTTCTCCCGAAATACACAGATTTTGTTGATAGGGAAATTAGGGTTTGCATATGTTAAGGATTAATATCTAAAATTTCTTGGTGCTTTTTATTTTTTATTTTTTTTTAATTTTGTTAAGAAATTTCTACACCCAGTGTGGGGCTTGGACTCATAACCCAAGATCAGGAGTTGCATGCTTTCCCAACTGAGCCAGCCAAGCACCCCTTTTTGTGCTTTTTAATGCAAATTCATATCTGCAGAAAAACATACACATATTTGGACCAGCCTATGTTTCACACATTAGAAACCTCAGTGTGAGATGATTTAACTTGATTTGGGAAAACCAAGAGTTGGAGAAATAATTTCTAGGCTCTTTGAGAGAAGAGTTTTCTGATGAGGTTTAGTAGGAGGTTGGTATACTTACCCCAACTGCTCTTGCCTGAAATAGGTGTTTGTGTTCATAACTTTGTGCTGAAACCACATCTGCCTTGTGGGATTATTTAGAGGTGGCTTTAGATATTCACTGAACTGAAGGTGGGACCTAGGACATTGCTTGTGCTAAGGTTTCAATGTTTCAAGCAAATTAAATGTTACTGATAAGACCATCATATATTTTTATACTTTGGCTTTTAATTGGGGTTTATTAATGTAGATATATTTCTTAGGACTTACAAAATGTGTATTTTTTTCTCTATATAAAAAGTTACTATTTTTTGTTAAATCTTTTTACTTTTTGTTGACCTAAGTGTGTCAAGTGAGTAAAATTCTTCAGATGTAACATCTCCATAAGATTAACTAAACAAAAACAAAACGGAAAATGCTTTATAAATCTACTCCTTGATACCCTTTTTTTAATAGGTTTTATTTTTTTTTTTAAAGATTTTATTTATTTGTCAGAGAAAGAAAGAAAGAGACAGAGAGCACAAGCAGGGGGAGTGGCTGGTGGAGGGAGAAGCAGGCTCCCCACTGAGCAGGGAGCCTGATGCGGGCGGGACTCGATCCCAGGACCCTGGGATCACAAACGGAGCCGAAGGCAGACACTTAACCGACTGAGCCACCCAGGCGCCCCTACTCCTTGATATTCTTTTTTTTTATTTTTTTTTTTTAAAGATTTTATTTATTTATTCATGAGAGACAGAGAGAGAGAGAGAGAAGCAGAGGGAGAAGCAGGCTCCCAAGGAGCAGGGAGCCTGACATGGGACTTGATCCCAGGACCCCGGGATCATGACCTGAGCCGAAGGCAGACACTTAACTATCTGAGCCACCCAGGCGCCCCTTGATATTCTTTATACACTTGTAACGTCATAGTTTTCATTGGTTTTCGGGTTGGGCAAACTTTTATGTATCCTGGCCTGCTGCTTTGTGCTGTAGAGCAAAGGTCTTGCGCTATTGGGAAGCTGTTCTTTTTCCTGTGGTAGTGAGTGGTCTGTTTTATGTTAAAAGAATGGGTATCTCAGCTTTCTGCTAAAGCACAGGCTGGCACGCTTTAATTAAAAAAAAACAACATCATATGGAAGAGAAGTTCTGAAATTACATATTTTCAGCATTGTAAACTTTGATGTAATACCCTGAAGTCGTCATCATTGATTGTCTTTGGACTAACAGCTGTTCTGTTTTTGAAATAAATCAAAGCAGTCTTGTGGCATTTGACACTAGGTTGGAACTTGTGCCTTTTGTCATGAGGATCACCAAGACTGCATGGAACTTTCAGAATAACCCTTAATTCTCACACTAGAGCAACTTCTAGTATGCTCTACTAGTTACAACTGTGTTTTGACTGAGACTGAAATAAATGTGTGTTTATAAAAACATTTGAGTCTCCTTTCCTGAGAATGAAGCTACAGCACAAGGAAAGATGAAGAGGGAAAAAGGGGAAGTGTTGGTTGCTTGGCTGTGGATCTGTAGTCTCTGCTTGGGAGTGGGGGCTTCACTTGGACCTGTCACGAGTGGTTCATTTCTGAGAAGTGGAAGCAGCAGGGAGGCTGCTTGGACCTTTTAAGAGAATACTGGGAGCATGCCCTATTTGTCGCCTTCCTTCCAGAGAGGTAGGGGACAGGGACAGAGAATTATAAACTCTTCTTTCCGTTGGAGTGATTTTTTTTCCCAAATGGTGAGAAAGAAAGCATTAGAGAGTGAGTCATCTGCCCCCCCTCCCCAATCTTTAAGTGTCTTTTGGTAGCGGTCACATTTCATTTGTGGGTTAGTGGGCATTTGCATTTATGCATTAATGATGTCTTGTGTTTGAAATACAAAATGAACCTTTTCTTTTTCCCCTCCAGGAAAGTCCCCAGAGGAAAAAAAGGAAATCAGAAGCTATAGAAACGAGTAACCAGATTGACTTGTTGGCTCTTGGTACAGCAGTTGGTAGTATTTTATTATACAGTACAGTAAAAGGAGAATTACACAGTAAATTGATAGTAAGTACAGATAAGTGTGTGTGTGTGTATGTGTATGTGTGTATGGATGTATATTGTATATAAAAGAATTGGGAAACTGATTATTAGAGATTTATAAAAACAAAACTGAATAATGCTATAGGATCTGTATTATAGGGGCATTTTTCTGCCCCCACATTTAAAATTGCGAACAATATTTGTTAATAGCTATAATAGGTAACATAATCTTTGTTGTAGGTTAGAATATGAAGAACTGTTGACTAGATTTAAAATAAAGGGTAGAAAGAGTTCTAGGTACCTCAAATTGTGACTGCAGGAAAGACCTCACCACCTCTAGGGCTAGGGAACAAAGGAGGCGGTTGGGATAACTGCTGAAACTCAAACCTTTGAGGAGCTGGTGTTGCTCTCTTTGCTGCTGTCTCTGGTGGAAGAGTGGCCCCATGCTTGCGGTCCAGACCTCTGAGGACAGAGCTTGTAACTGACTGCTGGTGTTCTTGAAGGGAGGGGAGGAGCATAGTTCCTCAGGTGTTGGAACAATTGCATATTGGGTTCAGCTGCTACCAAAAGGAGCACAGTAGGAGCCAGGCTAGAACAAGTTCCTCTTCCAGCCTTGTCTCTCTAGCAGCCCTTATTGGTTGAGCCTACTGGCCATCTGGCTGGCAAAGCAGGGATGTGGTCTGTGGAGCCCCAGCCCCGGCATCACAGAGCAAAGTGAGAGTTTGGCACTACAGGGCAGTGATTTAACTTAGCATAATTTGTTTCGGACACTGTCTATTACATTATGTGTTTGGTGTTCACTGAACGTCTGTCTTTGTATAGGAATGCTTTCTGTATATATGAATCAAACAGTGTTTTTTTTTTTTTAAAGATTTTATTTATTTATTTGACAGAGAGAGACACTGAGAGAGGGAACACAAGCAGGAGAGGGAGAAGCAGGCTTCCGGCTGAGCAGGGAGCCCGATGCGGGGCTTGATCCCAGATCCCAGTGCCCTGGGATCATAACCCGAGCCGAAGGCAGACGCTCAACGACTGAGCCACCCAGGCGCTCCTCAAACAGTGTTTTCTATTTTAAGTAACATTCTCCATAGATAATTTGGAACTACATAATGTTGAAAAGGGAAATAAGTTATTCTTATATCTATCACCAAGAGATGTTTAATAAGATTGTATTTCTTGGGGCGCCTGGGTGGCTCAGTTGTTAGGCGTCTGCCTTCGGCTCAGGTCATGATCCCAGGGTCCTGGGATCGAGCCCCACATCGGGCTCTCTGCTCGGTGGGAAGCCTGCCTCTCCCTCTCCCACTCCCCCTGCTTGTGTTCCCTTTCTCGCTGTGTCTCTCTCTGTCAAATAAATAAATAAAATCTTAAAAAAAATTGTATTTATGCATATGTTTAAGAAATACAGTTGAGTTCTGTCCATCTATTTTGTATCCTGATATTTTCCATTACATTACAACATGAGCAATTTTCATGTTTGTCAAGAACTAGTTAAAACATTTTCAATGACTCCCTAAAATCCCACTAAATTGGATTGTCCCTTGGTGATTTAACTATTACCGACCATTAAGGTGCTTTCTAATTTTTTGTTGTTACACATTTTGTTTGCTGTTTACATGGACTCCCAAAATTACTGACCTGTAATTAATGAGTGAAAGGGTTTTAATACTAAGGCTTTTTATGCATAGTATACAAATAGTTTCTCGAAGAGTTTTCCTGATTTTCTGTATCAGCAATGGAAAGAGTACCTGTATTCCAAAGCATTATTTCCACCATTGGATATGCCCATTAAAACAGCAAAAACATTAACAAAAGCTCAGCTGATTTGATAGATGAAAAATTCTGATTTTAAATCTGCATTTCAAAGTATGTTACTTATTTTCATGTTAAAGAGTATAAAAATACAACTGTAAAACAAATTAAAGCATTTAGGTATATAGATAGTTAGAAGGGAATTTCTTTTCCTCCCTCCTCTCCAAGTCGAGTACTGTCCTCATGTAGGCTTTTACCCTACTGTAGTTGGGAGCCCATCCTTTGATTTGATCAGTCTTTTGTGGTGAGCAAATACCTACAATCCATGCAGTGTGATAGCTGCTTTATTCAGCTACTGTGGCAGTGGACATAATGCTAATGAAACCTAGAACTCCTTTTTAGATAATTTTGGCACTTCATGGGATTATACATTAATCTTTAACAGGGAATGAATGTATTAAAAAAATAACTAAGAGGGTCAGAGTAAGGAGTGTTGGGATGATTGGTGAAGTAGAAAGGGATCAGGCTTTGGAACTATTCTGTCCTGAGTTTGAGTCCTTTTAGTTATGTGGTCATGGATAAGTAATTGAACTTCTCATTTCTTAAATGGGTATTCTGTAACCTACCTTGCATGCTTTTTTGGGATTTAGATGTAATAGTATATTTATTATAAGTGCCTAGTGCAGTGCCTGACATGTAATTGGTATTGTGCAAATGTTTGTTGAGTAAGTGAATGAATGAATGGACAGTTGGTAGATTGTTTTTCAAATGGGTGTACTAGCTCCTAGCAATGTATGATAGTGCCATTTTTTTCTGTAACCTTACCAGTGTGGGTATTATAATGCTAATAAGCAAAATGCTAGATGGACAGACTGAAAATGTACTTTGTTTTGCTTTAATCTCTTGGATTACTAACTTTGAAAATTTTATTTTCTTACTGAATTTTTTCTATGGAATTTATGTTATATCCTTTATTCAGTTCTTGTGTATGTGTCAGTGATATAGGACTTAATTCTTTGAGTGGATAGCTCATACTAGTGAAAGGAAATAGCTGAACTTAATATTTAGAAGTATTTTTCTTGAGATGCCTCGAGGGCTCATTTGGTTAAGCGTCTTCCTTCAGCTCAAGTCATGATCCCAGTGTCCTGGGATCGAGTCCTGCATTGGGCTCCTTGCTCATTGGGGAGCCTGCTTCTCCTTTTGCCTGCCACTCTCCCTGCTTGTGGGCACTCTCTCTGACAAATAAATAAAATCTTTAAAAAAAGAAGTGAGCAATCTAATAGAAGTAGTGATTTTGAGTTTTATCCTTAGTTTACATATATACATGATGGTGATTCATATATTCATTTAATTGTAATGTGAATTCAAATAGAAAGAGTGAAAATCACAATTGCTCACAGTGTAAATTATTTTAGGACCTTATTCTGCTGAATGAGTTTGTCCCGGAATGTGTGTGTAGTGGGTGGGAGAGTTGAACTTGCCTTTCCCCAGTTGATGTCTCTATTCCTGTTTGCTGCTGAGTGAGCGAGCATCTTGCTATGTTGAATATGTTTAAAG